CAACTGTACAAATTGGCTAATATAGTGTGACTATGTATACTGCACAATTTATACTGCTATTTCTAGTCAGAACTTCTTATTTTCTGTTTCTCTGTACTGTTTGTAAAATACTGATTTAATACCCCTTCTTTATTTTAGTAAGCATGCAGGTGTGTTGTTTTTAATATTTTGTTTAGCCAGTTAGGAGGCTGTGATAAATAGACTATTTGAGGTTTATTGATACTGCTTTTGATGTTAGGATGTGGGTCTAGAGAATCAGTAAAATTGTAGCTAGTTGTACTTTCTGGACCTTGGTGCATTCAAGGTGAAAAGCAGATTTACAAGTTGGAGGGTTATATCAGAGCTGTCACATGAGAAGTGGCTTTAATTCCCAGATTCTCTCTCTTGCCCTCTGGGCTGAAGGATGTCACCATTAGACGAGAGCAACTCACATCATTCTGCTGCAATCCTGCACCTCAGTCCAGAAGTGTCTTTAAGATACCCAACGCATGTCATTTTGATAAAGACATCTATTGTGAAAGGATGCTGCTTACAGGATCTCATGAGTTGGGAGAGGCCCAGAGCCTGGGCTCCCGCCCATATCTAAACATCCATACTGCAGTTTTTGAGCCCCACTGTGTGAGCCCTGAGAGCTGTGCGCTTGTGTGGCCATTCCGGAGAGATTCAGATGCTGATTAGCAGAGCGTCCACAGCCAGGATTATTTTTTCTACTGGTGGTGCACATGCCTCGGCTCTCCTAAAAAATTATTCTGCATGTGGATAGAAAAGAAATTGCGGATGGATGAAAAAGATGAGGAAACATTGCCTGCGAGCTCCAGTCAGCTGGCCCGGGCATTATGGGTGTGTGATTGCAATGCAGACGCTTCATCCAAGTTACAAGAAACATCCACTGGCAACAGAAAGACACCCATTGTCTTTCTGGTGCTCAGTTTTGAAAAGCTTCTGGCTTTGGTTAAGCACATCACTACAGATTTTTTGTTGGCGCTTTCAAGAGTCCTCTGAGTATAAGTGAGATTTTTAATTTTCTGAAGCAGGAAGGAGCAAATCAGTTTGTCTGCTGCTTCCTAACTCCCAGAAGAAGCATGACTCCTGAGTTACTTTAGAGTTTATCAGATGTAAGCCAATTGAATGACCTTTTGGTTCCTAAGGTGGGGTGGGGGAGGAAAAGGATCTTGCTTCTCATGGAGGACATGTGTCCTTTTGTAAGGAAAGAACTATATTGTATAGTCTTCCCTTAATATCAGACTTCATTAGTTTGTAGATCAAGGGCAAGTAATTCACCCTCCCCCCCCCCAAAAAAAAGAAACTTGAAGTTGGGTTCTGTGCATAAGACAAAGATCTATTTATAGTACTGTATGTGGTCATTAAATGGATTGCGTAAGAGTTTTAGGTATAACTTGGCATTGAGTACAGCAACCATTTAGCCTTAAATATACCACTTAAGGGCAGGAATTTCAAAAAGAAGCTTACCTTTAGGGTTCAAAGTGCAGGGTATGTCTACACTGTAAGAAACAGAAACAAAAAAAACCATGCCACAGCAAAACAAAACATAGTCACGCACCTATAGCAGCAAGTCTCAGAATCTGGGTCATCTGCCTCGGGTTCAGACCATGGGACTAAAAATACCAGGGTAGACATTCCCACTTGGGCAGGAGATCACACTTTGAAAAGTGGAGAACGGGGAGGAATTCGGAGACTAGAGTTCAGTGGGAACATCTGCACGGTTTTTAGCCCCATGGCACGATTCTGAGTTACTTGACCCAGCCTCTGAGACTAACTGCTATCCTGGACGCTTTACAGTATAGACGCAGCCTGGCTTGATTGTGAGCATTGAACCTCTGCTTTTGAAGATGATGGGCTCTACGAGGTGCCCAGCACATTTGAAAGCTGAGTCTGTACCTAAATTTCTCTTCTGCCTTCTCTCCTTTTTTTTCCTGACACACAAAGTGCCTTTCCTCCCCTCTGCCCCCCCTTTTTAATATCCTTTTCCCCACAGTTCTGTTGGTCAGAGACCTGCTCTTGCTACCTAGCGGAACTGTGCATAAATGACCTAATTAACTGGTGTACAAGACTGCTCTGTATGGTTGGAGGGTGAGAGACAGATCTCTCTATAGCAGACTTTAAGAGCAGTCAGTTTGTTTATTCAAGAGAGTGCACTATTGGAGGGAGATGATAGTTCACCATTTTATTAGCATATTTCTCATACTACATGCTCCTCTGTGTAAGTGGTGATAGAAATGTAGCCATATTCATGCTAAAATTCGACACTTTACGCCGGGGTCTTAACAAAGACTCTAGTTATCTTACCCATTACAAGGTAGCTTCCCCAATTATCACCTCTAATATCATTAGCTCACAGACATTCCTTCTGTTCTGAAATTTGATTTGTCATTTTCATATGTATTAATTTTTTTTAATTGTATCCTTTGGTATATATGGTTGTGACTATTTTCTTCCACTATTTCATCAGAGGAAGTAGGTCTGGCCCACGAAAGCTCATCATCTAATAAACCATCTTGTTAGTCTTTAAAATGCTACATAGTCCTGTATCTCTGTGTAAGTGTGTGTGAATTCGGTGTTAATGGTTCTGAATGTCAGGCATTGTCTTCGCAAGTCCTGGCACCATTTATTACATATCAGAGCGCTTCACCATTCTCTAACAACAAATCTACTGTTGATCCGGACCTACTGCTCTCATGCTTAGAAATTGCCTGTCACATGTGGTTTGAGGCCCTTCAAGATGACACCAGCAACCTTTGGCTTTGTTTGTTCATTGATCGATTGTAGTTGAATCCGGCAGGTAGTCTCTAACAGGGAGGCCTACCTGCGGTATCTCCCCCACTGGAGCACCCATGTCTGAAATGTGGCTGTTTGACTATTAACCATCTGTAGACCTTCTTATTAGTTGCTCCTTGGTGTCTGTTAATTTGAAGCTGTGTATTTGACTAGACATTGTCACCTTTTAACAGGCACATTATTGTCTGTCTTTACCATGTGGCGGGCAGAAGTTGCATTATCCTGAGGCAACATGACAATGAATTGCCAGATCTTGTTTGCTGGTATTAAAAAAACTGAAATGAATTCCTCCATCTGTATTTTGAACAGATTGTTCATTGTATGCTTTCCTTTCTCACTTCCTCTTTTTCTCTCCATCCACTACTTTTTCTCATTCCATCTTTACCTTGCAGGCTAGTTTGTGATAGAATACACTCTTGCCTCTGTGCAAGTTGTTAATGCATTTTAAGTGTCAGTCCATCTCTTCATGATCTGGAAACATTTTGGATTTTATATTTTCTTTTCAGAAGATCGAATATTGTTGGATATGTGCTTCATAGGATCTTGCATTTCTGTATCCCTGTAGAAATTTAGTGTATGTGGATCAGATTTCATAGGAGAATGTTTCAGAAGCAGTAACATTTTGGGTTGAAAGTACTGTTAATTTTTCTCATCCAACTGTCTTGAATACCTCATTAGAGCATTACCTTCCTTTTTTGGCTAGTGGCATCCTGAGTAGATGGAGAGAGAAGATCAAACTGAGGATCTACTGAATCCTGAAAATATAGATAAATGTGGTGCTTGGATATTGTACTTTGTGTGTGAATTTAAAGACTTTATGTACATACAGTTCTCAGATTGGATGAAAACATGATTTATTAAGGGAATATTTAAATTCCATTATTGAAACCATCAGCAATGCAGTTTATGTTGCTTCAGAGGGGAAGTGAAGTTTGACAGTCTTCTGCTTCTTGGACACTTACCCAGCGGAAGCTACCAAGGTCTATTGTTTTCAAAAAGAGACTATACTTTTCTTTTATTGTACATCTGTGTACCATAGTAGAAAATGTAATCTTAAACACCCCGCAGTCAGTGCTTTCACTTAGGGATTGGAAGCCATTCAAGCTGACCATTGAGAAGAGGAGTGTATGCATTGAGACTTATACTGTAATGTAGAACTTCTTTGCCTATTGTAATGACAGAAGGATGTTCTACATCTCTGTCGTTTCATCCCCTTTGTAATGGTTCTTTCATATGCTCATTTCTGTTCCTTCTGTTTTTGTGTTTGGTCCAGAAGAGCTAGAATTTCTAACCTTGCTCTGTAGCCTACAAAGTTCTTCCTCTAACTCTGTAGCTAGGATTTTGAAGTGAACAACCCAATAAAATTCCTAAAAGGTTCAAGACTCAACTTGAGAAATTTCCTAATTAGTTCCCTTTTTTTTTATACTCGACACTCACTTTAACAAACAAATTTTGGCAAATGTATAGCCAAGTAGTGCATCTGTTTTGCTTTGCACAGATAGGGTTAAGATATGTGCATCAATTTGTTTGATTTGGAGCTTGCTGTTCTTAGACATCATATTACAGTGGAAACACAAAAGAAATAATGTGAAATGGGATTTTTCTCAAAACTCTTCTGGGTGTGAGATCCAGTGGGAGAAACCTGAAATTATTTTGTAATCTTTCATGGTATTCTGGAAATCCTAGAATTAAGGAAAAAACATTCTAGTTTCTTTCTCACTCTGTTTATCTTTGACAATGTCCATTTTGTCCAAATGTAATCTCATTTGTGGATGTGTTTGAGGTGCTAAGGCAAAGCCAGAGATGGTAAAGTGGATCTGAGTTTGGCCTTACTAGCACTCAGGCAACTGGAAAAGCCACCATTCCGTGTGATACTGCAACAAAATACTGAATTAAGAAAAATACTTACTTGAGTCTCGATGCAGCTAGAAGTTGTGTTTTGAATCCAGATTGAAAAGGGAAACAAGAAGTAAATGGAAATTAGTAAAGCCAGGTTAAGTATTTAATTAAAAGAAATGGAAAAACAAAACCACAAATGTTAAACAACACATACCACGCACAGTGAGGAGCAAGAGGAAACCACTTGCTTCTTTTAAAGTGCTTAGGAAATAGTGTAGTTGGATATTATGTTATGATTGATGTTCTTTATGAATAAGATTTGACTTCCTTCCCCCTCCTTTTTGTGATTTTTGACATTTTTTTAGAAAGTTAGAAATATGGCCCTGGAAGATGTGGTGATTCTTAATGTTGACACCAACACACTGGAAACCCCTTTTGATGATCTACAGAGCCTTCCTAATGATGTGGTATGTATAAATTGTTTGATGATTTGGAACTACTACATTACTAGAAATAGCAATCCTTTTTATCTGTTTAGTTTCTAACATGTGTCTGGTGGTGGTGCCAAAGCCCTCACGTGTTGTGTTAAATGAACTGCTTAACCTGTCTTTATCTTTTTTGCCTGACAGAATATAGCAATCTTGGCGGGATATGGAACCCAATAGAATATCTGGAGGTTGAAACAGAGGTTACTTTTGTGACAGGGAGACAAAGTTGACACTTAATGGTGGGAATGCTGCAACTTTAATTAAAATACCCAGTTGATATGTCAGATTCCAAATGGTTAAAATTAAAGTCTTGCAGGAAGAAAAAGCTCATGTGTGCCATATCTAACATGAAACAAAATTAAATAAAAACAACTTCAAGCAGATTTTTGAGGTGGAACAGAGTGCTCAGGAAGAGGGAATTTAATGTAAAGATAATGGACAGACATATATTTGTGGGGATACTTTAATGAAACTTTTCCCCTATTTTCCTCCAGCTGTATCTGAATTTGAATCAGTATACTGAACTTTAACATACTTTTGAAATCGGGTCACTCACTTCATAATCCATTACTAAGACTGTTTTGTGAAAATAATTCAATAGTGGTGTAATAGTGCTTTAATTCCATTTAAAATGTTTAAACTAATTTAATGCTGTTGCATAAATGTTTGGTTCTTTAACTGTAGTGAGACAATGATGAGCCTGATTTACATTACTGTCTTGTTGCCGTGTGATACCAGAGTATCTTTGCTAATGAAACTAAAAGAGGCAACGCATGGCAAAGCATGTACAGCAAATGCACTAGAAGCCATGTACAGTCCTGCTGGTGTCGTTTTGGAAGAAGACAGAAAAATCTGAAATTCTCTTACTAGACACACTATTCAGTTGATTACTAGGATCCATCATTTGTAATGTCTGCTTCTTTTCACTTATTTAATGATCTAAATAAAATCCTGCCTCTGTCTGCAGTTGAATACTTTAAAAAAAATAAAAATAAAAAAGTTGTCTTGTAGCATCTTATAGACTAACATGGATGGATGAATGGATAGTATCATGAGTTTTTTGTGGGCAAAACCCACTTCCTCTCTCATCTGATGAAGTGGGTTTTGCCTACAAAAGCTTATTATACACTATATACGCATAATATTGTTAGAATATTAGGTGCTACAGGACAACTCTTTTATTTTAAGTATATCTCTGTAGTTTTTCCATATTATATATAACACTTGAAATCTCTGCCTTGCTTTGCCTTGTCTTTCACCTCATTTCACCATAATGCAGGCTAGTGTTTGTGGCTCATCGAAAAGTGGCAGTGTAACATTTTCTAGATTTTTTTTTTTCTCTCACAGGACCTGGTTGGAGCATTTTGTAAAATTTACTCGAGAGATTGAGAGGGGAGACCCATCTATTTTGCCTAGAGGAAAGCCCTTTGTCCTCTGATGTGATTTTGTCCAATTAATAAGAGTACCAGACATTCACGGGGAGGGCTCTTGCCTCATTACAGAGATGATTGGCATCACAGTGATGCTGGAGTACATTGCTCTGTTGCAGTGTGGAAAGGTGGAGTCTCTTGGCTGTTAACATTGTGTTTTCTGCTGCAGTTTTCAG